CACACACACACACACACACACACACACACACACACACACACACACACCCCTATGGTCAGGGAAGGGATTCACATCTTTCTTAATGTAGAATGGCCATCTTCTAAAATAGGCCGTATTATTTGTTTTTTATAACCTTAAGATACTTCTCTCCCCTCAAATATTTACCAAACTACCAAAAAATGAAGCTGCAAATGGTATATAAAGACAAATGAGATCTTGCTCCTGTTACAGTGCAATCACTTAAGGTGACTGAAGAACCATAAGAAGGGAGAAAAAAAATCACCTTAATTAAGGAATGGAATGTCTGTTACCTGTAACAAGCAGCTGACTTATTTGCTGTAATTGGCACCTACTCTAAATTGTAGGGACATGGGCACATGAAACAGTGAGACAACATGTGCCAGGCAACTGCTTATACTTGTTTCCAGAAGGCACATGTTTCCTGCACTCTTTAAGAACTAAAGACAAATTTACAGGAGAACCCAGCATTTAGATTCTGCCCACTTTGAGGTATTAAATGCATAAGGAAAGGATTAGTTACGTCCAAGTAGCATGCAATAGAAGTATTTTTAAACCAACATGGTTAAGTGTTAAGATTTTTAGAAATCAAAATATTTATTCACATAATTTTAAACTAAAGTCAAAGGTAATAAATCTTCTGTGGTAATGATTTAAGTGCAAGTGACGCTGGCTTCACATTTGTGTCCTTCATTCAGAGAAAAGGCAGATCAGTTGTTCTTAAACAAGTCAATGCAGCTCTGCAGGAGGGAAACATTGTTCTGGAAGAAAGAAGTCAAGGTAGACCAATGAGTCGTTTTACATTCCAGACCTCCTACATATCTGTAAGAAGTAAACTCAAACCCAACTTAAAGCTTTTCACAAGGGATTTGAAGCCTGCCAAACCGGGTTGGTCCTATTCTTTATTAAATCACAACCTGCACACCAATTTCATGCTGTCAAGTTCCTCCCCTCTGAGGGTCTGGGACTACAGCCTGGAGAGGCTCACCACTGAAGGTAGTGGTGGCCATCCAGCACCTCCCCCACCCGAGGTTTGCTCTCAATGCACTCACACCAATTCTGCTTACTGTGACTTAACCTAACTAAATGCTATCTAAGAGTTGTTCTTTGAAGTTGAAGGCCTTGGAAAGACCAGATAAAAAGTTGCTACAAATTTTCATGAGTGAGATTATAAAAGATAAATATTCATATAGGACCTAGCACAAACTGCTTTAGAAATGTTCTCATTTTAAAAGAAATGAGGGGCACCTGGGTGGCTCAGTTGGTTGAACATCCAGCTCCTGATCTCGGCTCAGGTCACAATCTCACAGTTTGGGAGATTGAGCCCTGCATCAGACTCTGCACTGACAGCATGGAGCCTGCTTGGGATTCCCTCCCTCCACCTCCCCTCCACCCCTCCCTTACATTCTCTCTCTCAAATAAATAAACTTTAAAAAGGTCTGGAATGTTACAGTTATGATTTATGTATACATGACACTCTAAAACCCCATTTTAAAAGTTCATACAACAGGACTTGGACTTAAGAAGTAAATGTTACAGTCTAAGAAATTCAAAATACACACTTATGTTCAAGGTCTTCCTGCTTAACCAATGACGACTGGCCAGTGACTGCTCCCCCTTCTCCAGTGGCTCTCTGCTGACCCTGTTGTCTTGGGCCTTACAGCATTTCTGGTGCTCAAACTCAACTGTATCCACGAACCACCGAAAAAGCCATGCCCAGAAACTGAGTGAATTGGTCTGTGCACCAAAATGTCTTTAAAAGCTCCTTAAGTAGACTCTAATGTGTATCTAACATTGAGGATCACTGTTCTCCATTTTTTCTGTATTAAATTAAGCTAGACATTAAATATTCAAGGAAGTTTTTCCTTCCTGAACAAAAAAGAAATTAATATCAGAAGACAAGTATATGCTCTTCTCAAAAGCAGTATTTCATCAATAAGTTATAGAATTTTGGCTTGCAAGCAGAAAAAAAAATTCCAACAACTCCCACCTACATTACAGATTAAAACCACACGCAGGGGCGCCTGGGTGGCTCAAGTCAGTTGAACTTCCAACTTCAGCTCAGGTCATGATCTTGCAGTTTATGAGTTCAAGCCCCACATGGGCTCGCTGCTGTCAGGGTGGAGCCTGCCCTTGCCCCGCTCCCCTCTGACCCTCCCCTGCTCATGCAGGCTTGCTTTAAAATAAATATTAAAAACACACACACAAAGCAAACCCCATCTGCCTGATGACACTGGGACAGTGAACTGGGAAAGAACTTGAACCCTAAAAAGCTTCTGGCTTAATGTGAAGGAAAACACTTACCCTGGCATGCTTTATTTCCAGTTCAGACATTTCAATTAGATTCTTTCTAAATGCTGCCACTCTCTTTCGTTTGAAGTTGATTAGTTCTGAAAAAGAGTTTACCGACAAAAGCTGAACAATTTTCATCTTTAACTTCCAAATATCATTCTTACAATCCTCAAAGCTTTGATACACGCATTTTCTCACATTTTTATTACCTCAGTGATTGGGACACACACCTGACATTTTATGGACAACGTAGTAACGTGCCTGCCACTGCCTTTAAAATGAACACCGCACTCAATCACTGAACATCAAAATCTAGATAATGCCACGGACTACTTAGGAGAATCTCTGAAATGGTCAGTCTTGTCCCAAACCTCTCCCAGTGCTTGTGGAAAGAGGGCCGGGAGAGGTAGTGAGTCATACATACCTGCGCCAATGACTATTTTAAACGATTATTTTTAAACTTTCAAATGACCACTCATGTTCAGACAGCTTCTCTGTGGATGTGATCTGTACAACAGATCACCTTTACATCTATTCTTTCTATTGCCAAATACTGTTCAGGACTATTGCCCTATTAGAAATCAGGGTAAGCCAAAAGTAAGTACTTCCTCCCTCAGATTCTTTCCACGAGAACCACCACTCCTTTGCTCAAATCTCCCAGATCAAGCTGGTGCTCTAGTCCTCAGGAGCAAACATACCCTCCTGTATCAGGTCTGTGCAGCACTAACCAAAAGAAATACGAAAGCAGCCACATGAAAAAGTAAAAACTTGCAAGAACACTTACAATGATAAGTTAGTAACACTACCTTGGATATAGTAAACAGGTCTTTCTGGATGTCCAGATAAACTCACCTCCCGCCTCTAGGCCTGCACCCAGGACCAGGACTCAACACTAACCTGTCAGACCACCCATGATGCCTACCCACACTATCACTTGTACCATGCTCATTCAACTAACTCATCAGTTCAGCTATGAAGTTTAGAAAGAACTCGGATCAGAGGTAAACAGGTTAAGATCCATTCACTGCAGTATCCTATAGAACACTGTACTTTTAAATATAGTACACCCAGGCTTACACTTTTGAATAAAGAGGATAAAAATCCAACAACACATGGACAAGCCTTAGGCAATCAGGACAGGCCTAAATTGGCACCACTTTAAAGTTTTGTAGTTTTTCCTTAATCCTCTCTAAAGTTGTCAGAGCTACCAAACTTTGACCTACATAATAATCTAAGGTTTCAACTCCATAGTTTTGAAGTTTGTTCTCAAAAACCTAAAATTAGCTAATTAAACAAAGGACAAGAATTTATTTTACTATGGCAGCAAGAAGGTTCCTTCAAAAGAATCCAAAAGATGGCCACATGAGCATATCGGCATGGCTTTTGCAAGATTTCTGTACAGAGAAGCTCTGTCCCTTACAGCTAAGTTATAGTACTGAAAACATAAGCCAAGACAAAACAAAGGACAAGAACTCTATTGCTTATTGCTAGTATCAGGATGTTTTCAGATATGCCTGGATTTTGGAACCAAAGGTTTGCGGGGAGGGGGAATTCTGAGAAAACAGTCTTAAAATGAGCTAGGGATTTGTCACAGAAAGCCAAGGTCTGGGAGTGAATCAAGTACAGTTACCACTATAATTACATTCAGGAAAACACATTCTTGACTTTTGCTCTAGCATGTTCCATGGCTCCTGAGAACTGCAGGTTAGACCACCCCATCCCTCCGCCCCGCGCCTAATAAGGAAAAGACTACAATTTACACTCCTGTTCTGTTGAAATGGAACACTATCTCCCAATAAAGTTAAGCCATAATCCCCCCTACTCTGAAATGAGATAAGGCAAAAAAGAACCCTGCGGCTGTGGACTGGAACTGTATCGCCACCATGACTCCTGGAGAGAGTTACACACCCCTCCAATTCCTCTGTCTCCTGAAGGGCCTAGAGAGACACCCCAGGAGAAATGAGCACACTCAACACCCTAATCTTGTCACAATTCTGTCACTAAACAGAACCTACACTTCTGGAAGAAGTGGTGATGTCTAGGGCTAGAGAAGATATAGGACATGCCAACTTAAAGGTGCTTCCCCCTAAATCTGGACAAATTGAGCACCAAAATAATGGACTACAATAATGAATTTAAAAACTATTTTCAAAAATAGAAACCCATGACTAACAATGACAAGAAAGGAAATGTGCAAAAGAAGGGAAGGCTTGTGCTTAATGGATGATGATGATGCCAAAGGCTTGGGAAGAGAACACTAGAACTGGGGAGCAGGGAATCGTCTTTCTGCAACCAGCACAGTAGGAGCTGGCTCAGGCAAGACTCAACACAGTCTAAATTTAGGGAGAAACTATCTGCAGGGTTTTTAAATGGTCTCCTCACACAGTTGATTAGTGACATGGGTATTAACTATACAGCAAAGAAATTAACACCACAAATGAGGAGAAAACTAACAGAACATGCCCTCAGATGTGACACCCGAAAGACACATTACTCACAGAATATTCTGTTGGAAATGCATAACTAGAACCTATTCGTTGCAGAAATAGACCATCTGAAAATGAAGAACACTGTAGAGACTATGCTCTCCAAAAAGGCAAATGTCATTTTTAAAAAAGGTGAAGGGGTGGGGGCCTGAGAAGGGTTCCTTCCAAATTAGAGGAGACACAA